TTTGGGGATGTTATAAATTTTGGAATGAGCCCCTTGTCACATGTGTGGCATGCAGATTCTTTTTCTGTTCTGTAGACCGCCTTTCAGTGTTGGGGCTGGTTTCTTTAAGGTATGAAAGCTTTTAGGTTTAGTGGTGTCCCACTTGTTGAATTTTGCTTTTGTTTCCCTGGGTGTTGGGGTTGTGTTCCCTAGTGCACTTTGGGGCAACTGTCCTTAGTGTGTCCCTATATTTTCTGTCAAGTACATCACCAAATATTTAATCCATTTGGAATTTTATAGATTGATTTATTTATCCATATAAGAGCTGGGGTACAGGCCAGGCATGTGGTCAGTGAGAGGATTGACCAGAGACAGAGTGGGGAACAGAACAGGCGGATCTGGTGAAATACACTACTAAGGGGAACAGCAAGGAGACAGGAGAGGCCAGGTGTGTCGTGTGGGTGAGTTCCCTGACTGGGGATCGAAATCATGCTGCATGGGCTGTGGATAGCTTCATAGTGCTTTGCCTTAACCCCTTGCTTCACCAGGGAGACTCCATGTTGCTGTATTAAGTTGGTTGGAATTTGTTGAGGATTTTCACTTCTCTGTTCTTTGGTGGTGTTGGTCTATTTTTCCCTTTTATGCTGTCTTTTTTTTGGGGGGGATCAAGGCAATGTTGACCTTGTCGTATGTGTTGGTGAGTTTTCCTCCGTCTTCAGTGTTTTGGAAGATGCAAATTTCTTTGTGTTTTCTTCTGTCATGGTCTCTCTGATGATTTATTTTCTGTGTCCCTGAATGCTTGTGTATCTTGTGCTCCTGAATGTAGCTAGTCCCTTGTTCCGATCTGGTCTCCCGTCTTCAGTCTGTACTTATCCTGAGTGAGTCAGTCAACTGTGTTTTGCCATTTCTGCTGGTTACACTTGAGTGTGGGCCTCCTGACAAGGCCTAGTACCACAGGCTCGGCTCCCACCTGACTGTGCCTGTAGCCGTCCCAATGGCACCTGCCACTCATGCAACATGCAAACCTCGTCCTGTGTTGTGCCCTCCCGTGTGGGATTAGATCCTTCTCAGCCCAGGTCTCCTGCCACCAGAAAGGGATTTCTCTGTTCCAGAGTTTAGTCTCACCCAATGCAAGTTACTCTTCAGTATTTCCTGATATCTTAATGGTTGCTAACAGCAGCACCACTGTGCGTGCATGTGTGCATATATGTGTGTGTGTGTGTTCACTTTCTTTTACATTACAGTTCTCATTCTTGGCCAAACCTGATGGATGTGTTTTCTCAGTGATGAGGTTGCTCCCTTTTCTGCCTCTGACTGGCCAGGGTGTGGTGACACCTCAGAGTTCAGGGGGAGAAAGTACTCAGGGGTCAGTGGGACACGTTTGAACAATGGTCATGACACAGACACTAGCTGAGTAAAACCAGGTAGCGCAGATGTTCATCATTTGACCTTTGGTTGTTGGGAATTGATGTCAGTGATGCTCAATGTAGTTTTTAATAAAGAGCTTCAGGTTTCTGTCATCGAGTCTGGAGTATAGTAGTTTTGTTTGCATTTGTCATACGTATGATTCTTGCTGAAGTTACCGTTAATGGTAGATTTTTTTTAATTTTGATAGATGTTTATAGAATATTGATAGAATGAATGTATTTTGCAACCTAATTTTACCAGCTCTTCTGTCACCTGTGACCATGCAAGTGTTTCATTTTATAAACCTTTGCACTGTGGGGAGCAGCCATGGCTGTTCTTCTGCCCAACATGACTGTTGCTTCCTTTTCTCCTTTTCCTAGTAAATGTGGCCCTCCATTCATTCATTCATTCATTCATTCATTATTTTTTTAAAAGATGAACTTATTTGTGCATACCAAAACTGGGGTATGGGCCTGAGGTGTGGGAGCGGGGAGGATTCACCAGAGACAGAGTGGGGAGCAGAACAGGCAAATCTATTGAAATACACTGCTGAGGGGAGCAGTGGGTGAGTCAGGAGAGGTCTGCCACGCCATGTGGGTAGCTCTCTGGCTGGGGATTGAACTTGTGCTGCTGTGGCTGCGGGACAGCTCCATAGGTAGTGTCTTTACCTTTGAGCCACCAGGATAGCCCCTGACCCTTTATTTAAATGTAAAATAAAATGTCTCCTTTTGCTGTTATTGCATGTGGTGTTCTTTGGCTTTTAGTATCTGACCTTGTTATACAGCCATCACCACCTTCCAGATTTTTTCATTTCCCAGTAATAAAATACTGTACTCATTAAACTCTCGCTCCCAACTGCTCTGTCCCTCAGCCCCTGTGTCCACCATTTGCTTTCTGTTTTCAAGAGTTTGACAACTCAGACCTGTATGAATGGAGTCTTATTTCATCTTGTTTTCTTGGTGAATCTCTTATTTTATTGCATTGTTAACTGTTTTGTCATTTCATAGGTATCATACAGGAGTGCATTCATATTGTAGTGTGTGTCGTTGTTTAGTTCCATTGTGAGGCTCATTAATAATCTCTTGTGTGTATCTACCAGTCTTATTTATCCATTAATCTATCACCTGGGGCTTGGGTTGATTTTGCTTTGGGCTGTAATGATGGTGCAGTGACCGCAGGTGAGCAAACATCTCTGCCTGTCCCTGCTGTCCTTGCTATTGGTGAACACCCCGGGGTGGGGGTAGGTCCTCCTGTCATTCTGAGTTCCCTTTTCCCAAGAATCACCTTCCTGTCTTCCCTCCTGGCTGCATCATTTATGTTTGCCCCAACAGTGTGCAAGGGAGCCAGGTCCCAATTTTTGCCAGTACTTGTTCTTTTCTTTCTTTTTAAATCATTGTGATCCCAGCAGATGTAAAATCTCATCTCTTGTACTTCTCATTCATTTTTCCTTCGTGACTGGTCCTATTGAGCACATTCATGTGTTAGGTCCCGCTTGGGTATGTGATTTGCAGAACTGTGTATTCCAGTCCTTTACTCATTGCTGTGCATTTCCATTTTGAACAGGGTCGAAAGCGCAAGGGGAGTGTATTGTCTCATTTTGTTGTATGGTGCTTTTATGGCATCCTGAGCCCATGCCTGCTGGGAGGTCCAATGAGTTTCTGTGCACAGAAATGAGCCATCCACCTTCTCTCTGCTGTTGTTTCATTTCTTGTATTAGTGTTTTAATCAATGAGCCTATAAATAAGAATGCATTTTTGTTTTCCTAGAACTGGGATGTGGCTGGGTTACCTTGCGAGATTTGCTGTCAGTGCAGCAGGCTCATCGTGTCCTGGATGCTGTTTTGTCTTTGCATTTGTTTAATTCATTGTTTAAGCCTCTGGGTTTCTTTATTCCAGCTCAGTCTCTGCCCTTGGTTCTGCTATATGTAAGGCTTACTGTTTTGTCATTTCACTGGCAGCGTACAGGAGCTCCTGTGTGTGTGAACATGGGTGTGTGTTATAGTCTGCTCACTGGGTTTTCCTTTCCAGAGTCGCTTTACTGTGGCTTTCATTAGTTTTCCAAGAATGAATTATAACTAGTTATGACCATTTTTATGTATGTTGTCTTTTTGTTGTTACGTAGTGTCACCCGAACCCATTGTGAATAAGGGGACACTGAGCATCTTTGTTAGTCCTCCTCTCACTGGGAATGTTGATGTCACCTGTGGCTGTGTCAAGGACTTGTTTTGTGTTGAGAAAAAAATCCTCTGAATCCTTTTTTAGCTATTACAAATAGAAATTTATTTTAATGGGTTCCTATTCAATATGTATGTGGAGGTACATAGGATTTACTACACAGGAAATTAAATGATGGAATAAATTTACAGATTTCTTAAGATGTTTGTTTTCTTATACCTAGTGTCTTATTTTTCAAAACTCTTTCATTGCTATGATCTATTTTTTTTTTCTCCAAAAGAAATATTTGTCTCTTCTAGTTGTTTTTCCTCTTCTTTCGATACCTTTTGTTGTGGTCACCGTGTTCTCCCTTACGGTGATGAAAACTATCAATAATATCCTGGAGATTCCCAAATTCTTTCTTTTCTTTAATATTTATTTTATGTATGCATATAAACACTCAGGTGTAGGCCACAGGTGCAGGGGGTGAAATGATTCACCAGAGACAGAGTGGGGAGCAGAACAGGCAAACTGACTGAAATACACTGCTGAGGGGAGCAGCGGGGAGATGGGAGAGATCTGCTGCCCCTTGTGAATAGCTCCCTGGTTGGGGATCAAATCCGTGTTGCAGTGGCTCCTGATAGCTTCATAGTGCTGAGACTTAAACTCTTGTGCCACCAGGGAGGCCCTGATTCCCAAATTTCTGTTCTCAGCTTAGAATTCCTGATCTATCAGACACATGGCCAGTTGCATGTGGAATACCAGTGTCTACCAGCCCGTAATGCGGACAGCATATTAGGAAAACATTCCTTGTACCTCAGCCACCAATTTATTACCGATTTCTCCTCCCCTTTGTCCTTCCATTTTAAAAGTGATGACCTGTTCTGTCTTCTTCTGACTCTGTCAGCTGAACATCTTTTCTTAAAAAAATATTTTATATATATTTTACATTTTTCATTTTTACACAATGTATGCATTTTCATCTTGGCTATAGTCCCCATACATCCCACCCCCTCTTATTTTGACCCTAATCCCTCCACCCCTCTACCCGCCCATAGTATGTGTCTGGTTTATACTTGCTTGTAGTTGAACATTTCTTACCTGTGCTTTCCCCCCCCTCATTGCTTGAACATTCTGGTTCCGGGTTCAGTTTTTGTTTACTGTGAGTTGGAGATAACCAGGCTTTGAGGTAACAGGAGTAAAATATTGGCACAAAGTTACACATGCTTTTCATTTGTTATGAAGCTCCTTTAGCACATGATTCCGGGTGTGTGTCTGTTACTCCTGCCAGCCAGGCTATCAGCTCCTCAAGGAGCAAATTTTATTCATCCTTTTATTCTTACAATCATAGACACTTTCAAATTTATACAATAAGCTATAGTTCTACTTTTAGGACCGAACGGGTGAATGTAGAGGCGAGGCTCTTTCAACTGCAAATTCTATACATCCTATACAGGACCAAAGACCCACAAAATAAGATGTGTTTGCACTTGCTCTGTCTGACCCAGGCTGCCAGCCCTGAAATGAGGAGAAATGTTCCCTCAGAGGGGACGGTGTCATTTGAAGACATTTTGTCAACTTCATGTGGCAGGAGTGGCAGTGAAGCTCAGAGGACCCTGTACTGGGATGTGATGATGGAGACCTGCAGTCACCTGGTGTCCCTAGGTGAGGAATCTCCGGTGTAGCACTCTAGTGCAGTGCTGTCTTCTGCACCGATAAGTGTGCACTTGCTTATGAAACTGAGTGTTGGTGAGGTTGAACATGGCAGGCAGTGTACATTGTGGGTGTTTCAGTTTTTGTTTGGAAAGATTCAGATTGGCCTCTTTTGCACAGCTCTTCACACTGCATTTGTTAGTTTTCAAAGACTGAAGTTGAACTTGATCAAAGACCAACACTGTTTCTCATCACAGGGCATCGTGTTACCGATCCTGAGGAGAGCATCAGGTCGGAGCAGGGATTACAGCCGTGGTCTGTGGACGATCCCCCAAACCAGGACCTCTCAGGTCAGTCAGTGCTTGCCAGGCCGGGAGGCTGAGAGGAGGCTGGGAGTGTGGCCAGTGATATTGGCCACACTGAGGTGCTTTTCCAGTGTCCAACCTTGGAGAGTGTGTCTGCATATATCAAACTGATTCTTTATTCAGTTACAAAATATTGCTGTCTGGTGAATTTTGTCCTGCTCTTTTAATGATGGTTGTCTATGTTCTTAAACCAGTATGCAGTCCTGATACTGTGGGGGTTATTCTGCAGTAATCACATTTCTCTGTTCTCTCTCTCAGTGTACTCTCATAGACTGTTTTCGTTAGGTACCTGTTCAGGATTTTTTTTATTTTGTGTGTTCATGGGAAGTTTAGCCAGTGTTAAATTTTCATAACAAATGAAATTATCTTTACTTTCTGAAGTTATACACGCTGTGAGGAAAGAATATATAATATAATAAATACATTTATTAATAGAGAGGTAAAGCCACAGAGGGTGTTTTTGTCCAGCATGAGTGAAACAAAGTGGAGGATGTTGTTTTTGTGTGTGTGCTCCATACGCATCATTATAGAGATTAATTATTTTCTTTCAGAGCTCAGATGAGGCGAATGGCTTGCACTGACATGTCATATCTATAGTTCTCTCTGCAGTCTGGGCTACAGGCTGTGTATTGCTATTGGAGATGTCACTTTGCAGGTGACTAACTCAAAAGGGATAGAGTGGTATTGACTGGAGAGTTATTTAGAACATGAGTAGTTTTTCAGGGGCAAGCCTTGTGACCGCCTACATAGTAATTGTGAGGCTAAGGAGGAACCAGAAATTGTTCAGCATGGGAAGGGATGTTCTGTGACTTGGGAGGGGGAACCTGAAGTGGTGGTTTCTAAAGCCATGGCACCAAGAGTTTCAGGTTTGGGGCTCATACCTTGGGGAAAAGTGTGACCTGTGCAATTCCACCTTCTCATGGGAATCGTTGGGAGGAAAGTAAAGGAATCGATGACAGTGTGATGTAGCTGAGAGTCACACACAACATATAAACTGGAGCTGCTATGAACAAAGCAGAAACACAGGTTCCAGGGAGTGCATTGAGAACACCAGGGTGTTGCTCTCAGAATGATGTGGGAAAAGACTTTAACACTGATAGCCACAGGCTGGATGCAGAACTTTTTTCCTATCAGCAGGAATGTGGGACACAATGATGAGGTGGAGTTTGCTGCATGTATTAGGATTCTGAGCCTTATGTGATATGATATTTAAATAAGAACTGACAGGTCTCTGCCGTGGAGGGATGTGCATGCCTCTGAGAACCTCTGCAGGTGACCGTGGCCAGGGCTGGGGTCGAAAGAAAAACTAAGGAAATGGAGAAGCAGAGTCCTTGTGTCTCAGCAGGCCTCTTGCTTAAAGTGCCTGGGCAATGACTGGGTCACTCAGTCCACAGGTTTCCGGGAAAGCCATGGCCTCTGTAGGGCTTGGTTATTCAGAAAGTACCTGCAAGAGCTGCACAGGGTCAGTCTAAGAAAGAAGGTGTGTAGGATCTATGTTGGGTGAAATGCTTCTGGTTGAAATCGACAACTCTAGTTAAAGGACTATTTTCACCAAATATTTATGATTTATAAAGCCATTATGAAATTAGTTTTACTGCTTTGTTATCCTGGTTTGGCATTAGAAAATCTGTTAATTGGGGCCTCCCTGGAGGCCTAGGGATTAAGTCTCTTAGCTCTCACGCTTATGGCCTGAGTTTGATCCACAGTGAAGGAGCTCACCCACTTTGTCACAGCAGACCTCTCCTGTCTCACCCGCTGCTCCCCTCAGCAGTGTATTTGAGTCAGTCCGCCTGTTCTGTTCAAAACAATGTCTCCACGCTCCCCTATAGCACCCCCACTCCTGCACTTCTGGCCTACACCCCAGTTCTTCTATGCTAAAATAAAAAAATACCAAAAAATCTATTCTCCCCATAATTTGCTATGGGCAAAAAGCATGAATCAGAAAATCAATACCTGTAAATTGTGTTGTAATACAGGAGCTTTTGTGCCACTTTGTAGTATTCACTCAAAATGCTTAGAGACATGGTCATTTTTATCTCACTTTAGATGTCCATACTGTGGATCACCTGACTCAGAACAGCCCTGCAAATCAGGGCAGACATGTGTGGCAAGTTCTTACCGCCAGCAGCAAAATACCATCCAGAGAGAGAACTGACTTAATGGAAAAAAGCAATGTGGACTCAATTCATTGTTTGAACCATAGTATCAAAAATGAAAGCAATTCAGCAATGATGCCTGAGAACTTTACTATACATAGGACCATGATGATCCCTGGTGAGCCTCAAGAAGAGCATGCTGGAGAGAATAAGGAGGTCTTTAGTAGAATGAGGGAACCCATCAAGTATCCTGAGCACCTTAGTCACCAGGTGATTCAGACCTTTCAACAGCCTTTTGAATTTCGTGAACAAGGAGAAGTTGTGAGTGTAGAAACAATATTTACACCTAAAGGAGCCCTTCCGGAAGGGGCTGCCCGTAAATGCAATGAGTGCAGGGACATCCGTGATGAGGCACCTTTCGTTTTCCGAGACAGAACCCAAGGAGGACAGACTCCCTGCAGTTGTAATGGAAAGGGGAGAGCTGTGGATATGACTCCAGTGCATTTGAATCCTCCTAGGTATGTTGAACATGAGCAGCAGGGATGTTATGAAAGTGGGGCCAGTCTCAGCAACACATTTCACACCTATCAGCGTGAGAGTACCCAGTTAGGAAAGAGTAATTTTGGATATAAGAGATATGTTGAAGCGGCCTCTAAAACCTTTGTTCTGACTGAACATCAGAAAACAAAAGCAGACGATCAACCTAATGAGTGTGGGGGCACCTCTGAGATTTCCTTACAGAGGGGATACCAGAGAAATCTCACTGCAGTGAAGTTGTTTGGCTCTAACGATTATGTGAAAACTTACTCATGGAAGACTGCCCTCACTTTACATCCACAATCTCAAACGGGAGTGAAGCGCTACCCGTGTCAGGTATGTAAGAAAACTTTCAGGTGGAAATCTGCTTTTAGTGTCCATCAGAGAACTCACATAAGGGAGAAACCCTATGAATGTGAGGCGTGCAGGAAAGTGTTCTCCTGTAAGTCAGTTCTTGTTCTACATGAGAGGACTCACACTGGAGAGAAACCCTATGATTGTGAAGAGTGTGGGAATGCTTTTTCCAGTAAGTCATCTCTCAGTCACCATCAGAGAAGTCACACTGGAGAGAAACCCTATGAATGTGAAGGGTGTGGGAAAGCTTTTTCCAGTAAGTCTTACCTCAGTGAGCATCAGAGAATTCACAGTGGAGAGACGCCTTATGAATGTCAAGAGTGTAGGAAGACTTTCCCCTGGAAATCATCCCTCAGTTACCACCAGAGAATTCACACTGGAGAGAAACCCTATGATTGTGAAGGGTGTAGGAAAGCTTTTTCTAGTAAGTCACACCTCATTAGACATCAGAGAAGTCACACTGGAGAGAAAACCTTTGATTGTGAAGGGTGTGGGAAAGCTTTTTCTAGTAAGCCACACCTCATTACACATCAGAGAATTCATTCATAGTGGAGAGAAAGCCTATGAGTGTCAAGAATGTGGGGAGGCTTTCCGCCAGAAATCATCCCTCAGTAAACATCAGAGAAGTCACAGTGGAGAGAAGCCTTATGAGTGTCAAGAGTGTGGGAAAACTTTTTCCAGTAAGCAAGCTCTCACTGGACATCAGAGGTGTCACTGGACAAAATCCCTATGATTGTGAAGAGTGGGAAAACTTTTCAGGAAGTCAGCCGTCACTAGGCATGACAAAATCCACACTGGAGGGAAATGCTATGAATGTCAAGAGTGCGCAGGCAGGCCTCCCCTGGTGGTGCAGGTGGTTGAGCGCAGCACTGTGAAGTTAGGGGTCTCTGCGGTGTGTGTCTTGCTGAAGTGCTTGGCCTGAGGCCTCTCCTGAGGCTCCAAGGCCTGCTGAGATTGCCCCCGTTACTCGCCTGGATGTCCACACCTAGCCTCGGTCTGTGGATTTGCAGTCGTGCCCTGTGTTGGCTCCGCGGTGTCCTCTCCGCAGGGCTGGGCTCGGGGCCCGTCCGTCGGGGATTGTTTCTCTGTTCGTGGATTTGGGACTTGGGCGCCCGCTCTCCCCTGCCCGCGCCCTCTATGCAGCTTCCTCCGTCAGGAACATCTCTACGGCCAGAGTCCCTGTCCTGTGTTTCCAGGTCGGTGACTGACGGGGTGTCTGTCACCTGAGAGCATCTTCCCTGATTCAGGGGGAGGTACATTGGTCCCTTCAAACTCCACCTGGAGTGTCGGTGCCACGGGCCATATTCCTCAACGCGCCATGGGGGGTCGCTGAGGCTTTCACCCCTAGGCCGCAGGCCGCTTTCCACGATGCTGCAGGCTCCTAGGTGTCCTTGAGCGCCCATTAAAGATGGCAACGGGCCCCTCAGCCTTCACCTCAGACCTGGTCCAAAGAGGCCTGCAGGGTTTGCTAAGACAACGCTCCTCTGCTAGTACCACGTTCCCTGGAAGTGTCTGTTGCTGTGACGTGACCCATGTGGTCTGTTGGAGCAAGGGTTGCTCTCTGCTCTGAAGGTGAGGGGTTCAGGGGACTCGTGTCACATCCCCCTACAGTTGTGTTGGGGCGTCCAGGGGTGTGGCGGGTGATGCCTCTGTGGATGGGTGGGCGGCCCAGGTGGGTGGTGATGCTGTCAGCGGTGGCCCAGGAGAGGCCTCCACCGTGCTCCATGGGGACCTTGCCCAGCTCAGCCGCATCCCGGGGTCAGGACGCGCAGCATCAGCACAGCCCAGAGACACTGTCCACGCTCCAGCGGTGAGGACACTACAGGAGCCTTGATCTCCATGGACAGGTTATGGACCAGAGCAGGGGAGTAATCCCCAGTGACGTGTGGGGAGCAGAACAGGCAGATCTATTGAAATCCACTGCTTAGGGGAGCCGTGGGGAGACAGGAGAGGTGCTGCGCCCTGTGGGTCAGCTCCCTGGCTGGGGATGGAGTTCTTGCTGCAGTGGCTGTGGACAGCTTCATTGTCTGAGACTTACGGAGCAGGGAGGCTATGGGTCCATTCTTGTGTGGGGCGCTTATCCTTCGGATATGGGGACAAGACGTGTGTGCTACTTTCAGGTCTGTGCCATCTTCCTTGGTCGCCCCCACCCGTAAGTTCATCCCCTGGATGAAAGGGAGTGTACCCATAAGATACCGAGGTGGATGGCCGGTCTTGGGCTGCGAGGTTCTCTTTCTCTGGAGAAGCAGAACTGCTCGGGAAGAACATGTTCGTCTTGGTAATGTTGCCAGGCTAGAAGACAAAGAATAGTTTGACTTTTAACCCTTTGCACTCTGAACCATTCTGGACATTGGCTACCAGCTACTCAATGCTACTTTGCGGCGGAAACATGCATTTACAGACCCTTGTATTATTTAGTATAATTTTAGAACCAAGTAACATATTATAATGATATTGGACTTATATGAATTGGGTGACATCGATGAATGTGTATTTGCAAAAAAAAACATTTTATTGTTTATAATTTTGTACAGTATGATAAGTTTTGTAACACTCCCCAATATGCATTGCAGGCTGATTAGTGGAGCTCATCTTTACTACTACTTGTGTCATGAGACTCATTCGTGGTTGGACGCTTTGACATTGTTCTAATAAAAAATATAATGCATGGGTTGAAAGTTTTTAATTGTTTTTACTAACTGTCAAGATGATATTTACCAAAATAGCTTTCACCAAACAATTTATTCACTAAGAAAAGAATCACTTTTCTGATTTTCTCCTCGTTAGATCTATGTGCACTGCTCGAAGCTTCAAACCAAAATGAGCTCAGCTTTGAACATCTTTTCCTCCAGATGTAGACTTGTTTATTTGTAATTATATATCTCACTACACAGTATGCACTATGTTTGAAAACTGACCTTTCTTCTACAAACTCCCCTTATCACTCTTTTCAAGTGGTGTCTCAAAGTGCTCGGACCGTCGTGAGCACGCATCTCACATTCTCGTCCGACACAAAACTCGCTGACATTTCTTGTATATATCTTAGTATTTTTTCGATATTTTGATTTAATTTCTTGTGCCATTTCAAGATAAAACTTCAGGGAAACATGCATGTCTCAAAAAGTTGCATTGAAATAACTCAATTCCCCATAATCACTAGTAAATTGCAATGTCCCCTGAGAGGGGACATCCGAGTGATATGCTAGAATTCCGATGTCCCCTGAGAGGGGACAGCAGAGTGCAAAGGTTTAAGCAATGAGCAGAAAGAATGCAGGTCTATTTTGGGGATGTATGTAAGCCTTTGGGACTCCCTGGTTTCAGAAATGAGAGTTACACGGCAGAGTGAGTGTATGTAATGCCACCAAACTCTGCATTGAAAAACATATGCCTTCCTAAGTACAAATAATGAACTAAAAGAGAAATTAACAAAGCCATCCCACCTACAATTGCACACGCAAAAAAATTAACTGGGAATAAATTTAACAGAGGAGGTGAAAGACTTTTACAAGGAAAACTATCAAACATTGTGGAAAAAAAATAATAGAAAGCATAGAGAAATGGAAAGAAAGACCCCGCTCATGGGGTGGAAGAATCAACATTGTCCAAAGGGCCATCCAACCCGAAGCCCCTTCTAGATTCACTGCAACCCCAATAAATATCCCGATGGCATTCTTCAGAGGAATAGAACAAAGATTACTGAGGTTCATATGGAAACACATAAGACCCCACATAACCAAAGCTTTCCTGATTAAAAGTGGGGGGAAATGAAGGAGTCACACTTCTGATCTCAAACTAAAGGTAAGGGGCCTCCCTGGTGGCCCAGGGGTTAAACACAGTGCTCTCAAACTACTGCCAGCCACTGTGCACAAGTTGGATCCCCAGCCGGCCAGGGAGCCGACTGCCATGTGCCTCAGACCTCTCCTGTCTGGCCTGCTGTGCCCCTCAGCAGTGTATTTTGTCAGTCGGCCTGCTCTGTTCCCTGCTCTGTCTCTGGTGAATCCTCTCAACCCCAGCATCTATGGCCTGTACCCCAGCTCTTGTGTGCATAAATAAATAAATCTTAAATATTTGTTAAACGAGTATTTTGGAAAGCCAAATAATTGAGCTAGAGTTACCTTATCAAATCCTTAGTTATAAATTAATCTGACTTGTGATATCATTTTGAAGAATACTACTAATATGTGTAGATTCATGAAACAAATCTGTAAAAACTTGGATGTGTGCAAGATTATGTGGAACATCCTGAGAGAAAGAAAATACATCCCAAGAGCAGGCCAGGATGAGCTGCTCACCTTCTCACAAGCAGGGATGAGCATCAAGCAGTCTCGGGTGGGGAGAGGCCACGTTGTTTCCAGCTAGTGTCATGAGACTTTCCTGGGCTTGGCTTCGGTGACCGACATGTCGGCCAAGGTGAGGTGAAGTGTGGACTCTCTCAGTCCTGAGGAGAGAGTGATCGGGGCCGTCCTCCTGCAGAGAGCTGGGGTGGAGGACGTGGACGCCGCTCGGGGCCCCTCTAGCCCTGACTCTGCGCACCCTACTCGGCGGCCTTTCGGGGTGAGCTGAGGAAACAGTGTGAAGGGCACGTGAAGTCTGTGAAAAGGCCCCTGTCGCTCGCCGTGGTCACTGCTGAGTAGCCCGGGAACATTTTCCCACTGAGCGAGCCTTGTGCTGGCTCTGACTGCTCCTGGCCCTCCAGGGAAGCCCTCGGGGAAGCCGGAGCCTCCGCCTCCAGGGGCCTGAGTCCCGAACTCGGGGGGGGGGGGGGGGGGGGGGGGGAGGTGGTTCCCTGGCCAGGTGGAGTCCGGCTGTGGAGGCGAGTCGGCCCAGAACGTGTGGTGCCGGGAGCGGCCCTTGGATGGTGGATTCCTCCATCGGGCGCGAATGTCCTCAAGGCGCTCGCCGGGGATTCTTTCCAAAGTGGCCGGTGAGGCCCGTGGAGGAAACGGGGTGACGAGAAGCCGCGGGCGGCGGTGGGCGGGGGCACCTGCACCCGCCTGGGCAGAGGCGGCCCTGGCACCGTCGCCCGCCGGGGCTCGCGCTGCCGCAGGGCACTCCGCGGGGGCTCGTGCCGCCGCGGGGCTCTCCGCGGGGGGATGGACCATCCCGGGTCCCCGGCGGGACCGCCCCCCCCTACGCTCCCCCGTGACCCGCGTGTCCTCCCCTCGCCGCGACGGTCAAGTCGCCTCCGGAGCGTCACCCCGTGCCGGACATGTCCTCCCCGTGCGCCGCTGAGACTGAGCTGGCGGCACCTCCTCCGGGTTCTCAGTCCTCCCTCGACTCTCCCGGGCCACTGCTCCTCCAGCACCACTGGACACGGGGTGTCCCCAGGGGTCTTGCAGGCGGCTGTCGTCAGAGTGTGGAGAGACGAGTGTGTGTGGGGGTTGTTCTGTGTCTGTCACTCACCTCCTTTGTCTTCTGGGGGGGGGGCGTGACGTCAAAATTGGGAATTTAAAAAGTCCTGTTGTTACAGGAGGTGGGGGGAGCGCAAAGCCCCCAGAATATCCACTCCATAAAGGGTCTTCATCTGCTGCATCAAGAAAAAGCATAAAAAGGGGCCTCCCCAGTGGTGCAGCGGTTGAGCGCTGGGTTTCGAAGCTGCCCGCAGCCTTTGCAGCGCCTGTTCGATCCCCGGCTGCACCCCGGCCACCAGAGGAGGGTCCCATATGGCGCGCAGACCTCTCCTGCCGCCCGCTGCTCCCCTCAGCAGTGTACTTCGGTCCTTCTGCCTGCTCTGCTCCCCATTCTGGATCTGGTGAATTCTCTCACCCTCCCGCACTTCTGACTGTACCCAGTGCTTGTATAAATAAATGAATAAAGAATCTTTAAAAAAAAGCATAAATTTAAAACAATCTGGCCAAGCGTCTTGAGGAAGGGATGGTTTATGGAGCCCCATGGGCAGGAGGGGAGCGGCTGAGCCCTGCCCAGTGGGACTAGGTTAGCTGCCCCTCTTGTGGCCCAGACTGCGGCCACGGAAGCAACAGCATTTTGCTGCCCCCAGGCCCTGCATGCAGAGCCCCTCAGTCCTCTCAGCACCGCAGAATGTGTCCAGGTCAGCCGGCCCCTGAGGAA